ATACTAGCAAACTGACGACGTGAGAGATAAAGGATGAACGTTTATTTTTAGCTTACTAAAGTTCTTCATCAACTTCGTGAACCTTCACCATTGTGAACAAACTTACCAAACGATATGGAGCACTATTGAATTATGTCTTACGAGCTGCACAATGGCAAAAGAGCAGTCTCACAAGTTAGGTGTTCCACCAGCGCCTGTCAATATAGCATTGTGTCAGTCCTTATATAAGATTATGTCTCCCACTAGGTTTGCTACTACAGCAGGACGTAATCATGAATGTAATGAGTGAAAAACGAAACACATATCATGCAACAATGTTATACATAAATCACTGTAAGCGTAATGTGAATCTTATACACAAACTACCACGACCATACCGCCAGAACACCAACTCAAAATCCAACAGCCTAGTCAACCAAGACAACACCTTCAATGACTAAACCTAATGAATATGAAAGACAAAAGCTCCTGTTCAAAAAGTTGCAAGCTCCAAAACCGACTCCAACATTTAACCAAGAACTACTCCTCAAATAAATCGTAAAAACTCCCTGCGTTCCTTACTGAAAAAAATAATGTTAGTTTTATTTATATTTGAACATTTTATTTAGAGTAAAATGACGACTAAAGTCACTGAGCAATGAACAAAAAATTTTTGGTAGAATACATTAAATCAGGAGGCGCTTGCCAATGAAAGGTTTTTTAACTTCATTACTATGAAGGATGGTAACGTTCAGTTTAGAAGATAAACAACATTATAGATAAGAAAGGTATATTAAGGAAGATTAAACTTCATGAGAACAACATTGCTGAACTTAAGAAGAAGTTAAAAGAGTTGGGAGACAAAGAAGAGAGTTATAAAGTAATGAATTCAAGTGGGTGAGAAAAAGAGGTGAAAAAAGAGGTGAGATTTCACCACTTCACCTAAATTTATTTTGTGCTATGTTTTCATACGTGTGAGGGTGGTGATATCATAATTTTTTAAGGTTTATTTTTTAAAATTATTTTTATTTTATTTGGATGTAATGACAGAACAAAAGCAACTCATACAAATCAAAAACATATAACAAACATAACATTTAAACATTATTCTTCTTCCTGAGCATAACATGTTCTTTCAAATACATCCGAGACCAGTTGACTTTTCATTGACTGTGTATAAAGATAGAAATAGTTATATCATTAACCATACGATGACGAAGGTAAGTTATGTAAATTGTACGTTAAGAAGTTAGAGAAAGTTTATGGCTTCAAGTATGACTACAATAGGGTTACAGAACTGATGATGAGATATTGAGGAAAATTTATGAGAACATTAGTTAAGTTGGTTAGTGAGAACGATGTGAGAAACGTTTAGTTTTACATTAGTGAGTTCGTTAGTGAAGTGGTTGGCGGCTTTGTAAATATTTTAAGGTTGAGTTGAGTAGGGTGGAACGTCGTGCCGCCGTACCCAACATAACCATACTACTATTTCATCGAAACTAAACGTATATGTTTTGTCAAGACTTCTTCGTAAATGTTTTGTCACAGACTTCTTCGTAAATGTTTTGTCAACATGAAGAATGTTTTGTCAAACATGAACGTATATGTTTTGTCAAACATGAACGTATATGTTTTGTCAAGACTACTTCGTAAATGTTTTGTCAAAACATGAACGTATATGTTTTGTCAAAGACTTCCTATTCCATCGTAATGAGCGTAAATCACGACAAAAATAATGTTTAGGGTAGATGGTTAGATTCAAACCTACTATTTCTCACCTGTTTTCTACCCCAGTTATTTATAAGCTTTTTACATGGTTAAACGTTTATTTTTTAAATTTTGTGAAAACTCAACGGTTTGACACAAGCCCAAAATTATTTACTCAGAATTTTTGTTGCTGAATTCAGCAAAAATAATGTTTAGGGTAGAAGGTTAGATCTAACCTGTTTTCTACCTCTTTTCTACCCCAGTTATTTTTATAAGCGTTTTACATGTAAAACGTTATGAATTCGTGGAGATCTAAACAGTTTCGTAGCTTCTATTTCTTCTTTTAAGTACATCGAATGTTTAACTGTGCGAAGGTTTCTTTATATTTCTTCTTGACGTCGAGATAGAAGAAATCTTCTGCTGTTGGATAGTTTTGTTCAGAAATGCTAACATGTCCATTTTATCTTCTGCTGGTTTTTCTGCTTCTTTCTTAAGTCCGCATAGTCGTTTCTCATACGTTCTATCTCTTTGACGAGTAGTTATATTTCCTCATTGCTGCTTTACATTTAGAACATTGCGGGTTCATTTTTGCGTTATATTCTGAAACCTTACATAGCTAAAACAACTAAAAGCGTCAATTGCTCTCTATCTCAAAAATAGCGGGTCTTATTTGTTTGTTCCATCCTTCCTCTTCTATTCTTTATCTCTTATCTGCCATACACATTCAGCAACTAACGAAACAAAGTTGTCGTAGGTCTTAAATCTTCAATTTATAATATGTCGAGATGTTCTTATATACCATATCGCAATCTTTGTCCATAACCTTATGGTTGCAATGAAATCCTAGAAACTCATAGTTTACCTTCTATGAACTTCTTTATTTCTACTGAGTCAGTTGCTTTGACTTCAATTTCGTCGAATTCAGGAATAGTGAGTTTTTTGTTGTTGATTTCAGGTATTTTGGGTAAATGGTCGATGAGGTCCTGCATTTCATAAGAATACTGTTCATTTGTTTCATCTTTCGCACTACAGTCTAAATTACATGTTAAAAGTTCTGCTTTATCTTCTGATTTCTGTTTCAAAAGTATAGAAGAAGGAATGAAGCTTTTCATCATCTACTAACATTGACGTAGGATTCATGACTAACGAGTTTGGTGCTGTTGTTTGAATTGTTGCTGTTGTGCCGATTGTTGACATTTTTATTTTTTTATACAAAATAAAAAAAATAAAAAAAATAAAACTAACTTTATTTTTTATTTCGGGAAAATTCATGAAAATTCATGAAAATTCAAGAGGTGAAAAAAGAGGTGAAAAAACAGGTGAGATCTCACTTCTTCACCTAAATTATATTTTTGGGTCCTTTACACTCATTACGATGAAGTCTTGACAAAACATTTACGAAGAAGTCATGAAAATTCAAGAGGGTAGAAAAGAGGTGAGAAAACAGGTTAGATCTAACCATCTACCCTAAAATTATATTTTTGGGTCTTTACGCTCATTACGATAGAAGAAAGTCTTGACAAAACATGTACGATGAAGTCTTGACAAAACATTATACGAAGAAGTCTTGACAAAACATTTACGAAGAAGTCTTGACAAAACATTTACCCGACATTCTCGTCAAATACAAAAAAATACAAAAAAATGACACTTTTTCATTAGATAACTTTATTTTTTGACGAAGTGAAGGTTGAACACTTCGTCAAAAAAATCCCTGAAATCATATCTTACATACAAAAAAATACAAAAAAATGACACTTTTTCATTAGATAACTGTTATTTTTGACGAAGTGAAGGTTGACACTTCGTCAAAAAAATCCCTGAAATCATATCTTACATACAAAAAAAATCACAAAATAAAACTAACTTATTTTTTCTATCTTAAGGAAATTCATGAAAATTCAAGAGGGTAGAAAACAGGTTAAAAACAGGTTAGATCTAACCTTCTACCCTAAATTATATTTTTGGGTCCTTTACAATCATTACGAAGAAGTCTTGACAAAACATTTACGAAAGAAGTCTTGACAAACATTTACGAAGAAGTCTGAACAAAACATTTACGAAGAAGTCTTTGAACAAAACATTTACGAAGAAGTCATGAAAATTCAAGAGGGTAGAAAAGAGGTGAGAAAAACAGGTTAGATCTAACCATCTACCCTAAATATATTTTTGGTGTAAATTTCATGATTTTCGAGAGTTTTAGACCATGTTAGAAAACAGGTGAAAAACAGGTTAGATCTAACCATCTACCCGACATTCTCGTCAAATACAAAAATACCAAAAAAATGACACTTTTCATTAGATAACTGTTATTTTTTGACGAAGTGAAGGTTGACACTTCGTCAAAAAAATCCCTGAAATCATATCTTACATACAAAAAATACAAAAAAATGACACTAACTTTATTTTCTGACTTTCAACAAAAGACCAAAAATAAACGCTTTACATGTATTTTCCAGCAACTTCGTCAAAATAATTTATAGCTTTATCTATCTCATCTACTCCAAACGTTTCTTTACCTTTCGTGGGAGCACCAATACATTTTCTCAAAAACTTCACAGTTTCTGTTTCAGCAGCTTCATATCATTAAAAGAACACAACCTTGACTCTATTGACTGTAGAGTCATATCTTAAGAGTTATATTATATGTCCTTACCTATCTTATATCTTTTTGTGTTGAAGTCCTTCGGTTTCTGAACGATGTAAAGTAAGCCTTCACTGCAACGTTCCGTACGAATGAACCATATGTTATGAAGTTTATCCAACAATCTGGTTCTAACCATAACAAAACTATTGGTATAAGACTTTTGTCTATAAGATATGCTGTAGTTCCATAGAATCTTACCGATATTAAAAGCTCAGGATTTCTTGTCAAAATTTTCTGAGTAGAAGCAATTTTAACCCAGTCCTTCGGTCTCTTTCCAGATGGAGATAAAATGTCTGACAAAGAATATTTGTTGTATTTCTTGAGTATCTTACGTTTAAATCACCTATTCTAACCAATTTGGTGTCATTGTCTATCTTTTTAACTGTTTCAAACTCAATGTTTGTCATTCTGTTCTTACATACAAAATAAAAAAATAAAATAAAAAATAAACTAACTTTATTTTTTCTGTCTTAAGGAAATTCATGACAAATTCAAGAGGGTAGAAATGAGGGTAGAAAACAGGTTAGATCTAACCTTCTACCCTAAACATTATTTTGGTCCTTTACACTCATTACGAAAAGTCATGACAAAACATTTACGAAGAAGTCATGAAAATTCAAGAGGTTAGAAAACGTGTTAGAAAACATGTTAGATCTAACATGTTAACATAAATTATATTTTTGGTCCGGGAACAACTTTCTCTCAATTGGAGCTATGGCATACTCTTTGCGTAAACGGTTCAGACCTTCTTCGAACTCTTGGTCTCTCTTCGATTTGGATTGAGATTGGAATTGCTGGGGTGGAGCTTGCTGGAACATCCAAGGGTTGGGGAAGTAAGGCATAGGCAGAGGAGGGTATTCGGGAAGCCTTTGTGGTAGGTAGTAACCTTGAGGTGGAAATTGGTAGAAATTCGGAGGTACTTGCTGGAACTGAGGTTGCTGAGGAGACTGTTGTGGTTCTTTAGGTTCCTCTGGTTTGGGAATGGACTGGGTTGGTGGGACGTGGGACATTCGTTTGTGTCCTGTCGGAAGGAAAACTTTTTCTGTCGGAAGGAAAAACTTTTTCTGTCGGAAGGAAACTTTTTCTGTCGGAAAGAAAAACTTTTTCTGTCGGAAAGAAAAACTTTTTCTGAAGTTCGACCAAAAAAGTTCTCAATTTTCGAAAAATTTGAATGGTTTACGGACGGAAAACTGGAAAAAACTTTTTCTGTCGGAAGGAAAAACTTTTTCTGTCGGAAGGAAAAAACTTTTTTCTGTCGGATGGAGACTCGGAATGCCAGAAGGATTTGACGAGGCAGTTTACCTAATTTAAATAAACGACTGCGTAAAAGACTACTTGCGCAAGGTCATGAAGCCCAAGGTAAGTTCACCACTATTTCTGGAAGGGCTGCTTGTTAGCAAATAGAACAAATACTAACGTAGTCATAAACGTTTAAATCAAACTCTTTCAATAAGTCATTGCGGAACTTTACAAAACCTTCTCTTAAAATTCTTACATCTTGTTTGCAGTAAAACGTGCTATATTTTTCTAAGTCGAAGTGGTTTCATCTATTCTGCAACCTTTGATGGAATCTATGTTCTTCATAAATGTATCTGCATCATGGATAAACTTACATGCTTCAGAAATGACACCAGTTCTGTTGTCATTTGCTAACAAAACACTGCTGTAGTAGTTATATGGAAATACTTCTTTCGGTCCTGTTTGTAAGTTAAACATAGCAGGAAATAGTTTAAGCTTCTTATTTATAACACTGTAAGAGTCTTTTATAATAATTGCCCGTCCTTTATATAAGCCAGTTATTGCATTGTTCGTGAACCTTTAATGATGGGAGTTCCTTTCACTTCTGTCATGTGTCTTAAGATGAAGTTTATGTCATAACTGAGGTTGTGAAAATATATTAAACTCTTGTCAGGAAGTCTTTCCAAAAATTCTGTTGCACAGTTTTGACCCCAAATGCTTTCACTAACTGAACCATCTTCACTGTCATAACAGATGTTAAAAGCTTTATGAAAGCCATCCGTACTACACTCAAAGTCAGCAAAGAAAACGTGCTCAGGTATGAATTTACATTTAGCTTTATTTACTTCTTTTGACTCTGCTTTCTTCTTCAGTTGTACACAATACTTTGGAGCATATGTCAAATCTTTAAATGGTGCAAGGTTCTGTTTATATAAGTCAGTAGTAATTGAAAAGTTCTCCATAAGAAATAGGTTCGAAATATTTGCACTCCCACAATGTTTTCATAACATCCCATAACGGTGTTGTTCTATCATAACGAACTACATATTTATCTTCTTCTTTGTATAAATCTTCATCTGTTTCTCAATGTTCATTCCACCACAAGCTTTGAGAATTTCTTTATAGTTTCGAATGAAGTATGTTGTCATTGGTAATCTTTCATTTAGCATGTAGTGGTCTTCAACAAGAAGTAAGTCAATAGTTCTAACAGTTTCGCATTCTTTTGGTATATATCTCTTTATTTCATTATGTCTTGAGTCATTGAAATAACCAATGGTAACATTAAATGATATACCTGTTGCGTCAGAAATTTCTTGTACTTTACTTTGAGGAAAGTCTCTAACACGAATGACTTCTCTCATGTGGTCAATAGTTTCTTCATTTACTCCAGCCTGAATGCAAGCATAAACGAAACAATTGTCCTCTGTCATAAGTGTTGCAGTTCTTTTGTTCAGTTCATTGAAGATTTGGTAGCGTTCAAGATTTATAGGTAATGTGCAAAGATACTTCCAGAACTGACCGCTTCTCTTCTTATAAAACTTCTTTTCACCATTATCTTTCCAAAAGCTTTCTATAAGTGCTGGGTTTCCTGTTTGCTTAAGAGCTTCCAAAATGGCTTTCTGGTCATTTGTCAGTGTGCTTTCATCTCTATATGGTCTCTTTTTTGGTTTGCCTTTCTTTACATCTGACATCGTTAAGCCTTCATATTCTGTTAAATCATACATCTTTATTTCGGTAAGATTCTTTATGTTTGTCAAGAAGAAGTCATAGTGCATTTCAACAATACCTGCAGCATTTGCTTCTATCTCTGATATAAAGTTCTCCTTCAAGAGCTGATGTAGTAATGTTCCAATATTATTGAGGTTTAACGTAGAACATTCATACTTTCCACCAAGTTTATAACATACCATCCATCTCTGTTGGGAGTTTATTTTAATCTTCTCTAAGAGTCTCATGAAAACCTTACCGAAATGTTTGTGTAAATAGTCTCTGTTTGGTTCATCTAAAGCTTCGATGTTAAAGTCAATGAGTCTATTGCCTGACTTCACATTTCTCTTCCTATTCTCTTCATCTTTCTTTAACCATCTCTCACCTTCTTTTGGTTTGTCGTCAATGGAACGAATGACATCGTTAGCTTTGCGAACTTGTTCTATAGCACTTTTAAACATCTCTCTTCTCTGTTGTTTCAGTGTGTCATCTCTCTTTCGTGTTTCACCAACGTTTGCATTTGTTATGTCAAACATTTCTCTTCTTACTTCATGTGGTACAGCTCTTCTTGTTTCACCAACGTTTGCATTTGTTATGTCAAACATTTCTCTTCTTACTTCATGTGGTACAGCTCTTCTTGTTTCACCAACGTTTGCATTTGTTATGTCAAACATTTCTCTTCTTACTTCATGTGGTACAGCTCTTCTTGTTTCACCAACGTTTGCATTTGTTATGTCAAACATTTCTCTTCTTACTTCATGTGGTACAGCTCTTCTTGTTTCACCAACGTTTGCATTTGTTATGTCAAACATCTCTCTTCTTACTTCATGAGGTACAGCTCTTCTTGTTTCACCAACGTTTGCATTTGTTATGTCAAACATTTCTCTTCTTACTTCATGAGGTATTGAACGTCTATGATATAAGTCAATAGCAATGTCATTTAAAGGAAATGCTCTTGCATGGACTTCGTCCTCGCCGCGTTGCGGCTTTATGAACTCATGAATTCTATCATAACTTATTGCACCATTGTAGTCTTTAATGAAGTCAGCGAGTGCTTTTTTGTTTGTTGCGTAATGCTTTGCAACATCTATATTAGCTTCTGTAAGAAGTTGTTTTATTTCCGAGTGTTCTAACTTAGACAACTTCCGATACATCTTTAGTAGGAAATAAAAAAAATATTTTTGAAAAAATTAGATTAGATTTTTTTAAGTTATTTTTCAAAATAATTTAATATTTTTATTTTAATGAAACACATGCAAGATTGCAAGTTCTTTTCATACAATGCTCTCGCTACTGCCATCAAGAATGAGTTCAATAATGCTTCAAACGTTAATGTTATCTTTAACAAGAAGTTTGTGAAAGAATCTAAGTTTGGTCAGTATGTCAGACCATTAGCTATCGTCATTGACCGCAAACGTTATACTTCACAAGAGTTAGCAGTAGTTTTGAAACAAAAGGGTTTCTTCGTGAATGTCAAAGATACACACTATACTGTCATAAAGAACTCTAACGTTGACTTCTTCAGTATTGCTATGAATCTTTCCGAACAGAAAGAATATAAGAAGGGTGAAACAAATGTGAAATATTATCCTTCATCTCTGAAGACAATAACGAACAAAGATGTTATACAAAAGTTCTTACCAAAGGTTGAAGAAGCTTCAATTGACATTGACGAAGGAAGTGAAATGGTTGAAGAAATTGACCCTGAAGCTATTTAACCAAAAATATATTTTTGGTGAAGAGGTGAGATATCACCTGTTTTTTCACCTCATTCTCTCTTCGTTAATGTTGTCGTGACTTCTTCGTTAATGTTGTCGTGACTTCATTCTTCCTCTTTGAAGTTATCGAAATATTCTGTTATTTTTTCCTTCAGTAATGTTAAGTCTTCTTTGAAGGTAAGTATTGTGCAACCTTTGATGTCATAGTGTGTTTGAGGAAGAGTATTTTTGACAATTTCTTTTATTTGCTCATTCGGTGTCATTGAAATCGGTAAGTTTTCACGATAGAACCAGTTTCTGTCAGATTTGTAAATCTTAGCAAGGTCATAAAAGCTCTTGTTGTTTCTTCTGACTAAATGCAACATAACCATATCTTTATCTTCTTCTTTCTCCAACTCTTCAGTATATATCATATACTTATAACTCTTTTCCTTTCCTTTTGGTACTGAACGTGGTATTCTTTTCTGTATGCTTTTGTCTTTGGATTCAATGACTTCATCTTTTGCTTGAAGTTTCTTTTCCATCTCTCCACGTTCTGCTTTATATAGTTCATCTAACATCATGAAAATATAACAAGCATAACGAGGTGAAGCCCACATTGCTACAGCATTTACTAAAAGTCTATGAACATAATAACCTTTCAAACCAGGTGCCAAATTCTTGCGATTTTCGTACGGAATCTCTTCCCTCGGAAAACCGAGGGAAGCAATCATATGAGGAAATTCTTCTAAAAGTTCTTTTGCCTGTTGGTTTTCAAACCAATGATATGCTTGCTTTGTAGAACGAAGAGCGTTCATTATACTTTGCATTTGGTACATGTCGTCTTTGACAGAACGAATGAGTCTCAATTGTTTGTTATATTGTATGTACTCGTATTCTTCATTTATGACTTCATGAACGATAGCAGTTGTTGTGTTCTCTAATGTTGACATATCTGTCCTTACATACAGGATAAAAAAATAAATAAAAATAAAATTAGCGTTATTTTTTCTGAGATAAACACTATTTCTTCACAACATTAAATTTTATCCTGTATGAAATGACTTTAAAAAGATTATTGACTGACTTCGAATACTATATCATTGACGCACTGACAGACCCTCAAAACTGTGTTGAAAGTTCTTTAAGCTTTAAGATTGAAGGTACGACGCATTTTGTCTTCACTTACGTATTGAAAGAATATGACCGTTATCATAACGAAGTGAATCAAACACTAATAAAATTTGTAGATAAAAAATTGGTTAACAATGAATATTTTAAACGTGAAGACCCAAACACTGCTGGAGATGATGAAGAATACAGACAAGTTATTGAAAAAAATAACGCAAGATTAGATGCAATAGAAAAGAAGTTTAATGAATGTCTTACAAACACGTATGAATATCTTATGCAGTGGGAAGCCAGATGGAAATAAATTTACGTCAAATATGCAATTTATAAAATCTTATGTCGACAGGCTACGTAGCACAGTGGTCTAAGGTGGTGTTATGGAGGGGTCAAGGTCTGTGGTTCGAACCGCGACAGCGCCGTATTTTCTTATTTTCTTTATTTGTCTTGTTTGTCTTGTTTGTCGTGAATAAAAAGTGTCATAAAAGTGCTCTATCTTCCACGGGAATAAATAAAAAATTTACTTTATTTCTTCTTTATTTCTTTGTTCCCGTGGAAGAAGGGTTTTGCTGTTTTTTCTCAGCCGAAATCAATGATTTTTTCATTTTTGGAATCCTTAGCGAATGAGGAATCTTTTCTCTCGTGGAAGCTTTGACCTAAAATATAATTTAGGTGAAGAGGTGAGATGTCACCTGTTTTCTCACCTAATTTTTCACCCTCGTGACTTTGTCATAACTTCTTCGTAAATGCTTTGTCATAACTTCTTCGTAAATGCTTTGTCATAACTTCTTCGTAAATGCTTTGTCATAACTTCTTCGTAAATGCTTTGTCATAACTTCTTCGTAAATGAGTGTAAATGACCAAAAATATATTATAGGTGAAGAGGTGAGATGTCACCTCTTTTTTCACCTAATTTCTCACCCTCAGCCGCTAAGCGGCGAGACCCAAAGGGTCTTGAATTTTCATGAATTTCCTTAAGATAGAAAAAATAAAGTTAGTTTTATTTTATTTATTTTTTTTATTTTGTATGTAAAGATATGATTTCAACAATCGGCACAACAACAATTCAAGCCGCGAACGGCGGGACTCTGTCCACAACAACTTCACCAAACTCGTTAGTCATGAATCCTACGTCAATGTTAGTAGAGATGAAAAGCTTCATTCCTTCTTCATATACTTTCGAAACAAAAATCCAGAAGATAAAGCAAGAACTTTTAACAAGTAATTTAGACTGTAGTGCGAAAGATGAAACAAATGAACAGTATCTTTATGAAATGCAGGACATTATTGACCATTTACCTAAACTACCTGAAATTCAGCATCAAAAACTAACTATTCCTGAATTCGATGAAATAGAAGTGAAACCAACTGACTCAGTAGAAATAAAGAAGTTCATTCGAAAGGTAAACTATGAGTTTCTAGGATTTCATTGCAACCATAAGGTTATGGACAAAGATTGCGACATGGTATATAAGAATGTTTCTGACATATATAAATCCGGGGAGTTTAAGACCTACGATAACTTTGTTTCGTTAGTTGCTGAATGTGTATGGCAGATAAGAGATAAAGATAGAAGAGGTAAAATATGGAACGAACAGATAAGACCAACTGCTTTTGAGTTAAAGAAAACCATTGACGCCTTAGTTGTTTTAGCAGGTAAGGTTTCAGAATATAACGCAAAAATGAATCCGCAATGTTCTAAATGTAAAGCAGCAATTAGGAAATATAACTACTCCGTCAAAGAGATAGAAAGAATGCGAAACGACTATGCAGACTTAAAGAAAGAAGCAGAAAAGCCAGCAGAAAATAAAATGGACATGTTAGCATTTCTGAACAAAAACTATCCAACTGCTGACGATTTCCTTCTATCTGACGTCAAGAAGAAATATAAAGAAACTTTCGGCATTGTTAAAACTTTTGACATACTGACAGAAGAAATAGAAGCTACGAAATTGTTTAGGATTTCAAATATACATCGTACAATTCATGTAAAACGCTTGTGAAAAACTGGGGTGAAAAAACAGGTGAGAAAACAGGTGACATCTCACCTCTTCACCTAAATTATATTTTTGTCTGATTTACATCCAACGAAAAAGTTTAGAAGAATTTTCTTATTCTTTCTGGCATATTTTTTCTTTCCAGTACTCCCGCTCTAATGGTCCCAGATGTGTTGGCTTCGACTCTCTCAAGTTCTTAGATGGTATAACATCTTCAACGCCTCCTTCATATCTTACTTTATAAGTGTCATCGTTTGTTGTAGCCAAGTATTTCAATAACCACTCCTCGCTTTGCTTCGTCAATGGTTTCAGCAAGTTTGCCATTACTACTTTCACTAATTATGTCGAGGGTAAAATGCTATGGAGTCGTCAGCAGCTTTTATAAGATATCCATTACCTTGTGTAGAGTCTACGATATAATAGTTTCTACTTAACCTTAAACGTTTCTTTGTCAACGGTTTGTCGTCAAGAACTACACGAACTTTTGTACCAGGAATGAGGGTAAATTGTGTTGAATTTCTGATATTTTGTGTTTGGCTTCGTTTCTTTTGTATATACTTTTCTTCTTGTTGTTGTGTCATTGAATTTGGTGTATGTCCTGTTGTAGAATGTGTTGAGGAATTATAACTTCGAGAAAATGTTTCATTGTTTCTTCGGTAAAGTCTCGCTCTTGATTTAAATCTCTGAGAGTTCTTATGAAGCGGTTTATGATGCCGAGTATGTTATGGTTATGGTCTTCAGTAGTGTAGTGAGTTATGTTATGCTTAATGAGAAAATCTGTGATTTCGTTGCTGAGGTATGCACCGTCTTGGTCTGATGTTAAAGTACTTGGGTTATGTTCTGCTACAAACTTTTGTAAAACTCTTAACACTTCACGAGTTCCTTTATTTTTCATTGGATATGCATATGCTTTACGAGTGTTAACATTTATGAAGATGAGGAATGGTTTATGTCCTCCTTTTCTGCTTTGAATGAGAGTGTCAAATTGGTATGCGTCAGGAGTGTTGGAGTAAATTGGTAAAAAGTAGTCGTAAGGGTTTATTTTTGTTTGATGTACAACATTTTTGTCAAAGAACCTTTTCACTTCAGCTCTGTTAGTAAATCCCCAACTCTTTGCAGCTTCATTGAATTCTTAAATGACCTCCATGGATGTTGTTCGAATACTTCTTTCAAGCTCATTTATGTAAAGTTAAAGATTTTAACCAACTCGTATCCAAGCGTGCATTGTTATATAAGGAGGCATATAATCTTTTCCATTACCTGCTGGGTCTGTAATACCAGCTACAACATGTGTATGATTTCCTGCAGTTCCACAGAAAATACCTGTGCTAA